CTGTTTTTACGTTGAAAGTATTGATAATAAGGTACTCTCGAGTGATGATGATGTGAAAAAAAGGTGGAAAGAGTATTTTGAAAAATTATTGAATGAGGAGTACCCAAAAGAGACATTAGAGGATATTTCGTGAAATGTGGGACTGGTAAATTTCATTAGTGAGAAAGAGGTATGGGAGGCTGTGGCATCAATGAAAATGAATAAAGCAGTAGGATCAGATGAAATGCCAGTAGAAGTATGGAAAATATTAGGCGGTGTTGGCATAAGGTGGTTGAAGGAACTTTTAAATAAAATCTTATTAGAAGGGAAAATACCAAATGAATGGAGGAATAGTATTGTGGTGCCGATATTTAAAGGTAAAGGAGACATACAGGAGTGTGGAAATTATAGAGGCATAAAGCTCACGAGTCATAGTATGAAAATTTGGGAAAAGGTAATAGATAAGAGAATAAGAAATGAGACATCGGTATCTAATAACCAGTTTGGTTATTGTTTGGCAATTTATGCCTGGTAAATCAACAATGGAGCCAGTATTTTGTGTGAGGCAACTTATAGAAAAGTTTAGGGAAAAGAAGAAAAAGCTGCGTTAGGTATTTATAGATTTGGGGAAAGCGTATGACAGAATACCGAGAGAGTACTCTTAAAGTGGGCATTAATGAGAAAAGGAGTCCCGAAAAGGTACGTTAATATAATAGAAGATATGTATAATGGTACTTGTACCAAGGTAAATAGCGTAGGAGGAGTATCAGAAGGTTTTTGGGTAATTGTAGGAGTGCACCAAGGTTCTGCTTTAAGCTCTTACTTATTCTCTATAGTGATGGATGAAATTACCAGAGAAATACAAGGAGAGGTGCCGTGGTGCATGTTGTTTGCTGACGATATAGTGTTAATAGGAGAAATTAGGGAGGAAATTAACCAAAGGCTAGAGGTGTGGAGAACAGCTCTTGAAGAAAAGGGTTTAAGAATAAGTAGAAGTAAGACAGAGTATATAGAGTACGAGTTTGACTAAGAAAAACACGAGGTAGATGAAATGAGGAGGTCAGTGACAATAGGCGAGGACGTGATTGGAGAGGTAGAGAGTTTTAAGTATTTAGGGTCAGTTGTGCAAAAGAGTGGTAATATTGACGAGGATGTAAGACATAGAATTAAATATGGGTGGTTGAAGTAGAGAGAAGCGTCTGACGTCTTATGCGATGAAAGAATTCCCATGAAGCTGAAAGGTAAATTCTACAAGACTGTAGTGAGGCCAGCTATGATGTATGGTTCAGAGTGTTGGGCGGTTGATAAAAAAGTAGAGCAGAGAATGAGTGTAGCAAAGATGAGAAAGCTTAGATGGCTGAGTGGAGTGACTAGAAAAGAGAGAATAAGAAACGAGCATATAAAAGGGAGCATTGGTGTAGCATTAATCGTGGATAAGACGAGAAAAATAGACTTAGATGGTTTGGTCATGTTATGAGGAGAGAAGAATCGGAAGCTGTCAGAACAGTTATAGAAATGAATGTTGAAGGAAGAAGAGGTAGAGGAAGACCAAAAAAGAGATGGAGGAATGCTATTGAATGCGATTTGAGGACAGCTGATGTGAGCGTAAATGATGTGGGAGATCGAGTCAAGTGGAAGTTTAGGATAAGGGTGGCCGACCCCAAGTAGTTGGGATTAAGGCGAGGAAGAAGAAGATCATTAGTCAATAATAAAAACCAAAACTATTTATTGCTAACAATAAACATACTATTTTTTTCAATATAATAATTAATTTAAGAAAAATATCAATTAATCTAATTGAAAATCGCAAATATAATAATCACTAAAATCAGTCTAAGATTAGGAAGATTGTAAAATTTTAAATTATAAATTAATAAAATTTTTATAGTTACATAAAATGTAATAGATTTTATTTTAAACTATTACAGTATTTATCTAGTTAAAAATTGTGTAACTTACCAAGATAGATTGTTAGTCAAAACTTTTAAAAATTTTATTTTGTTTATCTTCTACAGTATTTTTGTAGAAAAACAATTAACTAAAAATTAATAAAAATGTAATATATTAATTTTTATATAAATCAACATGATGTAAGTAATTTTATTTATAATACATAATGGATATTTAGCGGTAAGAACAGTTATAGAAATGAATGTTAAATGAAGACCAAAAATGAGGTATGTAATAGAATGCGATATGAGGACGGTTGATGTGAGCGTACATGATGTGGGTGATCGTGTCCATTGGAAGTTTAGAATAAGGGTGACTGACCTCAAGTAGTTAAGATTAAGGCGAGGAAAAAGAAGAAGAATTCAAATAGTAGTTGTGAACTAAATTTTGAAATTTATCGGAAAAACATACTGACAGCTTTAATTAATATGGTTTACAGATTAGTTAATATTCCGATCATTAAAATAGATTTTGATAAAGAACTGGCGGTTATAAGAGAAATAGCTAAATTTAATGGGTATAACGATAATGTCATTTCAAAACTAGTCCGAACACAAAAGTGGAATAAAATAGGAGAGCAGCTAGTACACTAACTAACGTGGAGTAACGAAAGTCTTTCATGCAAACAAAAATGTCTGTGAAAAATAAACGTTTGTAGTTTTTGTTATTTTGTTTAAATCTTTCTACCTAACGATTTAGTATCAAGAGCATTATACATTTCATACATAATAACACAGGAGCTGATATTATTCATAAGTAATCCTAATTACTATAAATATATTGCGTTTATAATATTTCCTTTTATATTTATTTTTATTTATATTATTGTTTTTTTTCAAGCATTTATTTCTAATTTAATAATGCTTATTAAATCAATACTCAAACAGATAGCTCAAAAATGTGTAAGTTTTGATATTACTTAGATGGCTTCAAAGAAATATATGAATTTATTCATCCCTTTTTCTCGGAAAAAAAGATTTCAACGGATTTGTTTAAGATTTCATTTACATGAGTTGGCTTGTTATTTTTATTCTAGAGTATTATATTCTGTACCAAGAAAGGTGTATTTTATTACGGCGAACCTCTTAAACCAAAAATAAACTCGTATATCATATTATGTATTGTCATTGTACATCAATTATACACTAACTTCTACATTGTAATTAACGCTAATAATATTTAAGAACTGGGTCCTTGTATTTGGTCCTTAAAAAATGTACTTTCTACAGTGATTTGCTCTTCAATTAAAAAAATAATAATATTGCTTAAAAACGTTTGAAAGTTATTCGAAAATATATTAATTGAAAGCCAAATTATTCTTTAAAATATATTTTTCAAGTCATCCATTAAGAAATATAATAAATTTAAATCTCGCAATTAACGTAGGTTAAATTTACTATAAGTTTCAAAAAGGTCACGTACAATGAATAAATGGTATTTCCATTAAATGTAGCATTCATCTTAGCCAATACAACTTTCTTTTGGAATACAATTTATTTTGCTATTCACTACTTTACAGAAGTTAATATTTCCGTATTGGCTGTTCGAGAAAACGTTAAAGTTTTCCCAATGAATTTCATACTTCAAACCAATACCAAACTAAAGTTCATAACAAAAAAAAAATTATTTTTTTTTAATTACTGATTTATACGGAATTAGTGATTTGAATTAAAAATGTTTTATAAAATCAAGACTTTCCCAGAAGAACAATCGGAATATCTTTGTTAGCTTACGGTTCAATTGTTATGGTTTAAATTATTTGTGAATTTAAAATTGGTTATACTGTATTATTAATTAATTTATTATACTTTTACAAAAAATGTACAAGATTTTAAATTTAATTTTCCTAAGAAAATTTTTTGTATATCAAGTAATGATGTTGAGACAAAGTTTTTTTATTTATAAATCAGGTCAACTGTACCATTTTTTTAACAAAATGAGTATTTTAAAAAATTTTTTGTAAAAAAACCCAACCCATTACTCAAAATTTTGGATTGAGGGTGGAATAAGATTAATTTAGTTCTAAAAACACATAAATTTGTACTTAACATCAGATGGTTTAAAATTTATAGAATAATAATAATTTTTCAAATATGGCATTTTAAACTAAGCTGAGTTGTAGTTATTTAAAAATCATGTTTCATTTTTACTAAGAGGAAAAATAATATATGATATAAGGATCAAGTATAAGAGGCAAGTAACCATTTGGTGGTCGTATGATAATATTGTGACTAGGTATTGTGGAGAAAAGCCAAATAAAATATTACTTGGATTACCTATTGCTTTCTGAAACGTGATATAACTTGTAAAAAAAGTAACAGAAAACATTTCGCACCATGTTATTAAAGATTTTGTTCACTCAACATTTGAATAACATAAAAAAAATATCCTGAGTGTTTTTAACGTTTAATTAATTTTTTTAATTTGAATGAAGCAAAAGTTTAAGAAAATTTAAATCGAATACATAGTTTTGAAAAGCAAATTAATATTATAGTATTTTAATATATTAAAAGACTGAACATAGAATATATTTGAACTTCTATTTAATAATGGGCAAAATTAAAATAAAATAATAATAGTTAAAGAGATTTTGAGATTGAAGCCATTTCTATGATAATTATCCGAAATTTCTGTTTTTTTAGACAACAATATTCAATATTACTTCCTAATGTCCAATACCATAAAAAAACAAAAAAAATTCAACTCGTATTTTTAAATGAATTTAATAGAGTTGATCCCAAAAAATGTTGAACAATTTGTGAAAAAATTTTCATTTGTACAATTTGTAGATTCGTGCAGTAAAATTTTTAATATTTTAATTTGAAGTATCATAAAAAATTTAAATTTACTCCAAGCTTATAGAATTGATACAATAATGATCTACATCCGCGTTAGTTGAAAATTAAACACACACAAACTAAGCCTTCAGATCTGTTAACAAATCGCAGAATAATTAATTAATTTTGCCAACTAGGAAGCAAGAATCAGCTGTGGGATAAAATAATCGTATTTTATACGGGTGGTTGAATGATAAGAGAAGCTTTGCGTTGTATAGATAAGAAATAATTTACCACTTTACATCTGAAACAAGGTGAACAGTCTTAGATTCGGGTGACTGAAGCAGAAATGGTAGTATGAGCGTGGTAGTAATGGCAGTGGCAGTGCGCGGGTTACTTCCGCCATCAGCTTGTACTACCACCTTCGGACGGCGGGCTGGCGCGCGAGCGTTAATATCGATTGCGCGTCGTGGTGGTCTTGGCGGCGACGGCGGGGACGCCCGTTAATAGCAGCGGCGGCAGCACCAGCGACAATATTGGTGGCAGCTGTGGCTGGTGGCAGTGGCACCGGGCGCAACGAGTGTGCCGGTCGTGTGTCGGTGTCCGTCCCGAGCATTGATAGCACGCGCGGGTGCGCGCGTACCGGCGGGAGACACGCTCATGGCGATTTAAATCACATTTAATTTGTTAGTTGATAATTATCACTTGGGAAAATTAACAAAATCGTTACAACTGAAAAAAGCCGGTCTATTAAAACGATATTACGAAAATTTCACTTTACCGCGGGCTAAGTGAAACCATGGATAATATGGGAGGTAACGGCAGTAATGGTGACGGACGTTTCGCCGACCGGGCTACCGAAAGTCTATACCAGAGTTATAACGCAAAGCAAAAGCGAGCGGCGTTCGCGTGCTATGTGTCGGCGTCAGTGTTGTTTGATGTGTACTGCCTAACAGTGTACGATGCTCGATCTCCGTACACGTGGTGTCTGCTGGCCATCAACGTAGCCACTCTCATCTGGGTTCGTCTGTCGGCCGGCCGACGTCGATACTGGACTGCTGTGGCCCATCTGGCTTGGTTCACCGCCGATGTTCAGGTGGTGCTACATTTGGTGGCCAACGCCGCCGAGGGAGCCGATCTCCTGGGCTGGATCTTGCTCTACGATTACCTGGCCTATGTCAGTTTGCCCCTCACTTTGGCTCTGTGCGTCGCCCTCAGTTCAACTACGTGCGTCACGTACGTGCTCACCGTTGCCGTGCTGGGCCGGAATCACGCTTACCTAGTCAGACAGGTGCGTAATCGTAGCCACTAACTTTTAATAATATTTTTACAAAACTAAGCTTTTTATGTTAAGCTGTATAGATAATTAAATATGAAAAAAATTGCATGAGAAATAAATCGGCACTATTGAAAATGCACGTGCTTCACCGGTTCCCAAATCTCGAACTTTTTAATGAATTGTTAATTTAACAAACAATGGATGACGAAAACGTTATGCGATTTTAACATTGTGTGCGTGAATAATTATAAACAAAGTTACTATAATAAAAGAAAAAAATTAATCAGTTAATAATATAATGAGTAAAATTGAAATAGACAAGGTCTTACATAATTATTTTCAATCATAACTGTACACAAAATCCGAAGAAAACCGGTAGTGTGTAAATTAATTGGTAGTTATTAAATTATGTTTAGTGCAAGTTAACTGACCGCTGGTCAGCTGCTATGTAGCCCGTTAATCGAGTTGTGAGTTGTTTTCTCGGATATATAGTTATAGTAATTGTGGGATTAGCGTTACTATCATTTATTTTCATAAGATTCTTAAATAATTATAGATGAGAATGCAAATAACAATTAATTATTATTGGCTAGCGTTCGCGATAACGCCACGACGGCCGCCGCCTTTAATGTGCCATCAAAATGAATTATTCAATCAGGTGCTAAATTGACTTGACAAAACAGTATGCAGTTGCATTATGGTTTAGGTTATGATAAAATCACGCTCATCACATTGATTTTTAGACAATTAACGATATAGATTTTTCAAAAAGAATTTCTATTATCTTTGTAGAACGTGTGTAAAAGTTCAACAAAACTATTGGAATTCATAGCGTGAGTGGAAATAACTACATCCGGTCTAGTCATGATGTTACATAAACGTGCGAATCCGTATACTATTACAAGTTATTCAAATTGTTGTTGGATTGTCGGAGAGAAGATACAGTTATTATTATAACCGGTCCGAATGCTTTTCGTACGATCGGTTATGCAGAAACAGTCCCGTGGAGGATTCCTCTGCGCGAATGTCAGTTAAACAATAGCAATATGAATGGAGAAAACCGAGCGCACTATTAGTACTTTGGTTTGGCGTAAACCGCAAAGGGTCGGCTAGAAGATATATCTTCAAAACTTTCGAGTCTCTGCAGATATGTTTCATAAAGACGACGATGATATTTCATCAGTCCCTTTATATCCGTCACGTTGTTTTGCCGGACTACTGTGTAATACATTACTTATCCTGATCGCACGCCGGTTAAGAAACTAACCAAACGATTCTATTCATTAAGATACTGTACCGAGAGAAAAAGCACTAGGGTCGTTAAAACGCGCGATAAGATGTTAGTGCGACGACATCCTACTAATTGGAAAAAGAAAATTTAATTGGTTTCCTTCATCAAGCGCCGCATTGCCAGTTTTAAAGTGAAACGAACGGAAAATTAGTTCGGATCAATCTGCTTTTGTGATAATGATTACATAATAGTGTATAGTGAACAAATTGTAAACGTACATAATGAAAGAGGAAATGAATACGGGGAAATTTAATTAAGAATAACATTTGTACGCCCCATTCGTGTTGTTGTATAAGTAGCCTAATTTTTATACGGTTAAATACACTCAAAGGAAAATGTGTCTTCTATTCGGAAAGCATTTATTCACCATGTAATTCACATGGTCTTAACTCATGAACGTTTGGGTCATTAAGTATCATGTCCAAGTGGAAAACCTTAATTTCAATTATTTTCAAAATTCTAATCTCTGTAATTGTTTGTATTTCGTTGTCATACAAGTGGAATTTATTTACTATCGATACTACTGATTCTAGATGAAATAAACATCATTTGAGACACTCGAGTTAATGAAATTTCGCATAGAAAAATAATTTGCACTAATACTTTTAGAGTCTTTTACGGGTATCGTGAGGGTCAATTTCAATTTGATTAAATTACATAAGACGCTGCCAATATGTAATAATCTTATGAAATATTTTGTACCGTTCTGATTCTTTGATCCGGCTTACAAAATCCATCAATATCAAATCTATATACGCAAACGTATAATTTAAAAATGTACTTAAGTCTAGCGTTTAAATATTCCTTTTTTACCTTTAAAATCATGGATACATGTTTCCAGTCTTATGGCTAAAAATTTCCATAAATAATTAAAATTGCTCAAAAGTATATGCATAAGGATCTAATACATTAATAATATTTTGTTTTACGACTGATTATAGTAAATCCAATTAATGTTAGATGAAAATAATTTTTAGTAGGCAAGGAATATTATGTATTGAAAAGAACCTACCGTTGCTTGAAATAAGATGACCAATCAATAAAATTTCTTTTATATTTGCTTATCTGATGAAGTATTCGTAACAATTGATGAATAGACTGGAAAGTAAATACACAAGTCTCTGTCATAGATTTTTAGGGACAGTAAAAGGTTAAAAAAAAGGTAATGCATCGTACAACTATTCAGCATATGATGACTTTAATACGAACAAATTTTCTTTGTTGCGATCTATAGACACCAATAGCTATATATGTTTTCTCCCGTAACCCTCTCCCCCAAGTTTTATCGTTGTTGGCATTGTTTGATGTGTGTTTGTTCGCTTTTTGTCGTTAAAGACACAATAATCGAAAAAGTTTTTGTGCTGATTTAACATAAAAAATAAAAAATGAGAATTAAATTATAATATATTCTCTTTGTAGTGTTGTAGCAGTATTAATGACACATTTTAGTGAAGGGAGATGTGCACTTATCAAAGCATTTAAGTGGCAATTTGAGGAAATATTTGATATTTATTACGTCAAAATTTATAAAACCAGGTAATAGTCATTATAAGGTTTCGTATAAACACTTTTAACGTTTGGGTTGGATTAGTGAAACTTATAGACATGTTAGCTATTTTATAATTAAAAGCATAAATAGTGTTTAAGACATGAAAGTTGCTTCAGATTAAAGAACAAAATAATTATCTCAATTCATAATAATTATGAATTGTGTAGTCAATTGCACTTAAGCACTACAACATATTTCGTTTTGAATTGAAAATCTAAAGCTCACACTCAATTATATTTTTCGTTTCTATGGAAACTACGGGTGTAGGTATTTTTTTTGTTAATAAATATCCGTTGAAACTAATTCTGACAAAATATACAGTATTTATATGTGTTAGCACTGTGAACTTGTTAAATTAAAATGTTACACCCCACTAAAAAAATATTTATTCAGATGATTTATGGGTTATGCTATCTAAAATGTATATAAATTATTGTGTGTCAATGGAAATTTTCATATCGCGTTATCAATAGAATACTATCCATCGGACTGGATGGCACAAGTAGCAAAACCTTAATTTCACATACAATGTATTTATGTATCATGTTCTGTCTTGACAATCGTTTGGTTGCACTCCAATAACAGCGATTCACACGTCCTAAACATTTGAAATTTTGTGATGATAAGGAAATTATAATGTTATGTCTTTGAATTTTCAACAGTATGATATGTCATCGTATTAAACTAAAAATTCAATAATTATTTTGAATTATTTTAGGTAAATATTTAAATTATTGAAATTTAATTATGTATTTTCGTGTCTTAATTAAAGTTGACAAAGTTAACGTGGCGCAATGAATACTCTATATGCTGATAAAACTAGTGTTAAGCAGCACTTGACATTTTTACAGTGTTGAAAAACATCATGTGTCCAGTCAAGAAGATATTGGAAAACCACTGCACTTTTCCTAATAAAAATACCAATCCAACTATAGTTGGCTAGAAATGATGACATAGCTTAGAATTTATAAAAAAAAAATTCTTCGCAAAAAAATTGATATTCTTTTTGATTTATTATTTCTCGTTCAATTCAGAGGAACAGACCATTGATTCAATATCCATTAAATGTATAATTGTATGACATTAAACTTTTTAAATTAACATTTTACTTTTATAATAAAGTGTATTTAGACCATAGAAAAATTGTAACCTGTTTTGTGGAAGTTTTTACTTAAAAATCTAAAACAAATTCATTGAGTGATTCTATACTTGGGTTGAAAATTTGTTTTACAAAGATAGAAATTAAAAATGTCGTTTACGGAGTTACAGTCACTGATTATAATATTTTTCATACGGTCCAGTGATTGATCAACATGCAACAAACGTTAAAAATAAATTCTCGAAAAAAATTTTTCTTCAAAATTACATTAAACGTTACGTATAAATAAGTGCAATTTCTAGTAAACCAATATTCGTTAAATAAGTTCAATTGTATTTTTGAATTTATATTTGTATGTATGTAAATAATATGTTATTGCTTTGATCGATATAATCAGTTAATGATATGCAATCACTTGGTTGTTCATATTTTGACTTTCATGTTTTCGCAGTTAAAACTCACAAGTTTTTCTATAGAAATCCAATAAAATTTTTATTGAAGGATCATTATTATTTTAAAAATAAATGTTTTTGAAACCGTGTCAGCAATTATATTTTGACAATGTGTATTTTTTTTATACATTTTTTAAGTGTGAATTATATTATTAGAACATATTTAATTACTCTACGTCTATTAAATAAGATTTAAAATAAACCATATTGATTGGGTTTCACCATATTGATGAAACAAATAAAAAATATACCTTTTTAAAAGTTCATTATACTCTGACTATACTTGTAAGTTAAATAATAACTGTAGAATACGCAGTACATATATTTTATTTAATACTAATCTAACAATAGTTTATTATTGAACTATAATAATAAAAAAAAACACTAAATGATAACTTTAATGGTTGCATAGACTGTAAAAGGCGTGATCTATTAATGCACAAATTAATAAATAATAATAATAATAATAATAAATATTTAATTGGTCAATTAATTAACGTTCACGCATTATCTTTGATATGTGGTGTTTTGATAATATTTTGAATAAATAAACTATTATTGTTTCTATTATGTAATTATAATAATTTTTATTTATTTATTTATTTCTATGGACAAATGTCT